GTCGTGCAAACTTTTCAAGACGAACTAGTCACAAAGCGCATTTGTACCCTTTTGTATCGTATGACGAAAACCTTCATCCATATAACTTTAGCGCGACGAGTAGTAAAGATTCGTGCCATTTTTTTTTTTTGCACGACAAGTTTGAAATTGTTCATCGCGCAATGTCTTTTTTCATGACCTTTGCGAGACAAAATATGCGCAACAATTTTCTAGTCACCATAGTTTTTGTGCGGCCTAATAAGGATTTGCGCGACAAAATCTTCCTCACCTGCGCAAACTGTTTAATTTAGTAGTGACTATTTTTGGAGAAATTTTTTATTGTGACGGGAACATGGATGGTACATCACGTGTTTTTATGTAAGTGGTGAGAAATTTTATTCTTTAAGTTATTAACTTTTTAACACACATATCCCACTATTTATATAGAGACACGTGGTACACCATCCCGTGTGCTGGTGACACTGAAAAATTTCTCCTATTTTTGGCTCACTTTCGGTTCTCTTTTTCATGCGAACATTTGACTATTATTATTTCTCTAATAATAGAAACTAAGTTAGAAATATAAAATTAACATGAGTTTTATATAAACTCTGCCCAAAACGTTGTCGTTTTGGGTTTGGGCTTTTTTAATAAAATATTCAAACGCCCAAGTGGTGCCTTGACAATGCCTCAGTCGCTCCTCCCAAACGCCTAGGCTAGTCAACAGCCCACTCCTGTTGGGTAGAGGGGTTTTCTTGATAGCACCGCACAAAATACCGTCTAGGCTAGTTTTAATACTAGTTTTTTAAAACATTGGTTGAACTTTCAGTGTTTTGTGGAATAATATTCGCCTAATTTTTGGATAACTATTAGATGACTAAACAATTTCAAATTTAGTTAACTTTTGACAAAATTGATCTTTAAAGGACAACCTAAAAAATACACTTTTGATCATCGTATGCAAAATTGTAGTATTGCAAAGAGAGCCAAAAAGAGAGAAATTGAACGTTAAAATTCAAAGGGTGATAGCATTCCTCGTTCACAAAACTTTAATTGGATGTAGTATTAATCTTCATATCTATCTTTCCAATGTGTCTTAGGGGAAGCGCCTATGTTCTATCGGATTGGGAATACGAATTTTCACCGGAAGATATATAACTCTGTTTTACTCGTCATCATCATCACTGGATATTCAAGAAACGAAAGTCAATGGTTTGAGGGAAGACACTACATGCAAATTAGAAATTTAGAAGAGAAAAGAAGTCATCGTTCAATAATTTCTCCATAACCTAGCACTTCTACATGCCCCTATCTGGGGCAGGCAAGGAAATGAATATCAGCCAAACGATCTTGAAGAAAAGGTGTCGGGAGTTGGGAATTCCTCGTTGGCCCTATCGCAAGTTGGCCAGCCTTCAAGACCTAGTAAGAAACACTCATGCATGTCTCTAACTCCTCCCTATAAGTAATTCTTTAATACACGTACAACTTTGCTACCATTCATGCATTTGTTTTCACTTTTCACCATGCATGTGGATGTGGATCAATCTTTTTCGGCAAGGTTGTACGTTGAAATAATGAGATGTGTATGTGGATTATACCGGAGTCAGGAGATGATGAGCTGATGGAGAGGTGGAATTGTTGGAGAGGGAAAAGCAGCTGATGGAGAATTTCCCGATTGGCAACTCGAAGAGAACACAAAGAGGCTGAGAGGCGCTTGCTATAAAGCCAAGTACAAGAAAATGTCCATTTCCAGCTAAGTAGGTCTTATTCAGACACAAAAGTTCTCTCTCTAAACCCAACTTATAAATTTTTTACTTTGAAATCTCTATTATATCCCACACATTCAAAATGGATTTAGAAAGAAAACGAAAAAGAAACCCAGCCAAAGTCACCTCTGGCATTCACCCTTACCTCCAAACCCAAAGACACCAATGTTCTTCATACCCTCACCAACCACCTAGCCACGCCACTTGCACCTCTCCTACCACCCACAATCAAAAGACCCAAATTCCATCCCATCATAACATAGAAACAATACTTCAACACCATAATGATAAATCAATTCAGAGATATCATCTAATTAAGTCTTTTTTTTTTTTTTTAATCTCAGACCATTAAAAACTAATTCGATGAGTATGTGTGCAGAATCCTAGTACTTCATTCTTTATTTTCATAAAAATTCACCTATCTTGTGAGAAACCAATTTGAGGTTGAAACTCATAAAATCATTCTACGAAATGACAAGGGGTTTCGTCGGTCAAGGGTTTGAGAGAGGGGGTGTTTTCATGGAGGGGTGGGGATGGGGTAATCAGACGTATTTTCACTAATGGACAACTTTTGGCTTTTTCTTTCTAAACTCATTTAAAGGTCAATGTCGATGGCGCATTGATAGGATTTTTAATACCAGCCCAAAGGGTGTTAAAATCGCATAAAATACTTGCAAGAGTACAAGGTAATCGAAGTATAGTCGACTCTAGCAAGGTCGTTCTCGATAAGGATTGAATGAATAATTTATATAAAAACCAAATCTTTATTAATTATTTGAAAACAAAGTTTGGAAAATGTTGATTTTGTGACTTAAGATAATAAAAATGAATTTAACAAAAACAAGTTAAAAGATTCAACAAAAGGAAAATAATTAAAAGAAAACGGTTTTGAAAATCAATTTAAAAAGACACTAGAGTTCTGCCATCACCTTAACAATCTTACGTTGTTCTGCCAATTACTTATAAATTATATATGCATATTTTGAAGGTTAGGTTTTTCTAAAGTATGCTCTACTTAGGCTCCCAATCTAGCACGTATATTAAAGCAATCCATTTGTGAATTCAAGTCAATCTAAATATGCAAGACTCATTAAGCTTTATAAAAACTCTTTGAAAAATCATGCAACCCTTAAGACGTGATATTCATGCTAAATGAAATTACTATTATTAACCATAAGAAGTCTTTGTCAATATCAGGGACCGACTTTCAACCAAAATTATGCTATGTACTATGTTCCTTTTAAGTTTAATGAGATCTCCTATCGTTTCTGTAAAAAAATAAGTATTAGAAAAATTTCACTTCCAGCTAATTAGGTCTTATTGATAACTGAATTAATCAAAGATTAGGAATGGCATTCGGACCCAAACTTTCTCTTTCTATATCTAACCTGTAACTTTTTATTTTGAAATCTTTGTTTTATCCCAGATACATAATGGGTTTAGAAAGAAAAAGAAACAAAACGAAAAAGAAACCCCGCCAAGGTTACCTCCGACATCCACCCCTACCTCTCCAAACACAGACACCCAATGTTCTTCGCCCCTCCCCAGCCACCCAGCCACACCACTTGCATCTCTCTTACCACCCACAATCTAAGACCCAAATCTCATCCCACCGTAATATAGAGATATCATCTAATTAGATGATATAATCTAAGGCCCAATTAGGTCTTATTGCAATACTTCAACGCTATAATAATAAATCGATTAAGAGATATCATCTAATTAAGTCAATTTCTTTAATCTCAATCATTAAAATTAATTCAATGAGTATGTATGTAGGATCCTAGTTCTTCTTTCTTCATTTTCACAAAAAAAAATTGACTATTTTGTGATCAACCAATTTGAGGTTGAAACTCATAAATCATTCAATAGGAATGACAAGGGTTTCGTCGGTCAGGGGTTTGAGAGAGGGGGTGCTTTTGTGGAGGGGTGAGGATGAAGTAATCAGACGTACTTTCACTAATCGACAGTTTTTTGGCTTTTTCTTTTTAAACCTATTTAGTATATGGGGTATAATATAAATTTCAAAATAAAAAAAAAATTATAAGTTGAATTTATAAAGAGAAATGTTGGGTTCGAACAAAGTTTCACTGAGGGTATTAATCATATACAACTAAGGTGGACTAGCATTACCTATTGCATGAGGTTAACACCTTTAATTGAAACTAAAGTTCTAAAAGACGCTAGGCGTTAGTCAGACGACGAGCTGAGGCTAGCGCCTGGGCGCATAGGCGGACTAGGAAGATTTAACTAAATTCATTATATTTCATGTAAATAAGTGTATGTTTATACATAAAATATATATAATTTTATCATAAACTATAAAATAGAATGACACATATATTATGAAGTATTGGAACATAATGAAAACATGGGAAACAAGCATATAATGTGTGCTCATTTAAGTATTTAACAAGTCTCTTACAATTTATTAAAAGAAATAAAATGTAAAATGAAAGTTATATATTTTCTGCCTAAGTGAGTCGCAACCTAGGCAGGTCTAAACTGGCTAGGCGGTCTAGGCAGGCGCCTCAACAAGTATGTGTGCCCTTACCTTTCTTAATTTTTATACGTTTAGGTATTAATTGGGACGGTAACCAATCACCTAGCGCCGTTTTTAGAACAGTGATGAAAACACATCAAATTCAGATTGAAAATATATACCTGCCTTTCGGATTGGAAAGATGGACTGGCGTTGCTCGTGACCTTCAAATTTGTATTACTTTGACTCATGCACTGCCCATTTTATTGTCTTTTCAACTTTCGACTAATTTCCAAATTAAGAAAATCAAAGGTGTTTGAAAGACATTTTAACTCAAATATAAAGCACCAACATTATACTACTGGCACAAAACGCTACAGAAATAATATATTCATACCATAAAATTTGCTCCTCCTCAAACAGGTTTAAGCCCTTATAATTTCAATGGACTCCATATTCATCAATGTTTAGAAGCTAGTACGAGAGGATATATAATCTGCCACTAGACACACCACCTGTATAGTTGCATTGTAGATGACATGGCATATGTATCACACCGACGTGGGTCCAAAATATGACGGATTCATGCAACGTAAGATGGCTACCCATATGTCACATCCCGGCCCGGGGGGACCACTTCCCGGGCCCGCTCCACCACCGTAGCACGATATTGTCCGCTTTGGGTCCCGACCACGCCCTCAAGGTTTTGTTTCTGGGAACGAGAACTTCCAATGGGTCACCCATCCTAGTAGTGCTCTCGTGCGCTACTTGCTTAACTTCAGAGTTCCCATGGAACCTGAAGCCAGTGAGCTCCCAAAAAGCCTTGTGCTAGGTAGGGATGAGAATTTACATATAAGGATCACTCCCCTGCACGATGTGGGATGTCACACCATATGTGACGTGGAATAGGGTTTCAGTGGCCCAGCAATGTCGATATTTTATTTTGTCTAGTTGGCTAATAAACAACGATCACGTTTTTCTCACTCCAGATGATCACAGCAGAATTAGGTATCCACTGCATCAAAGATTGTTGTCGGTCTTTCGTCCACAAGGTGTACCTATACAGCTGAATTGGAACATTATTGGCCCAAAAAGTGGCATTTTTCCATTAACCACGTCGGATAATCCGTATGTTCATGCAAGATTAGTTAATCAGTATAAGAGCGGGAAAGAGGGCTGGGAATTAACTTGGGAATTGGGATGTAGGGATGAGGATGAATGGGAGAGAACGATGTGTTCATTCAAAAAGTGTGGGATATGTTTAGGTGATCAACTTTCACATTTTAGGTTGCTTCAGGCTGCGTGTTAGAAATGTCTCTGTGAGTCTTTCCGGTTCCCAAAATAGATGGATAACCATAGTTTGCTGTCAGTTGTTCTTATTTTTTTTAAATGAAAAAGAAAAGTGTTGTTCTTTTCTTATCAAACTATGATTTTTCAAGAATATGAAACTAAAAGCGAAATTTTAAGAGCTGAATATAGTAGTTTCACTTTTTGGTTGTTTATTTTTTTTTAAATTGAAAGTAGTTATCAAATGAGTTTTCAATTTTTAAATTTTTTTTTTTTAAATTAAGACAGTGTTATGAAAGACTGTTGATTTCTTTGTTGTTAAATATTTTCATTACAAGCTGAAAGTAGTTATTAAAAAATTACCAAACTAAAAGTAGTTACCAATACAATAAGAAAATCAACAATTTTTTATTTAAAAAAAAATAAAAGTAGTTGCCAAATTCGTCTTAATACAACAAGAAAAAATATATATTTTTAAATAGTTTTAACGTGTCTAAACCAATGACATGTTTTTCTCGACATTAAAAGAAAAAATTAAAATTAAAAAGTCAACAATATATAGCAGTCAATAAATAATACGGACACTTTGGTTTATCTAGCAGAGATGAGGTTTTGGATTTAACTAGTACTAGTTTTTCTGCACGCGCCTTGTACCTGAGAAAGGCATTTTCTACATAACAGCACAGAATACAAAGTTTTTTTTTACCCTTTTGCGTTTGTATTCTGCATGCATTAGTTTCATATGTCCATAATTTTCCTTATTTTGGTAGTAAAAATGAATTGTCATGAGATAGACAAACTGTTAAAGAAAAGATAACAAATATAAATATATTGCAGAAAAATTCCAAACAGTAATTGTACCTTTACATTATAGGAAACAACTCTTGAGTAACTGTGAAAACTGAAATGCATGAAATCTCATCAACCAAAACCAGGAGGCACATCACTACATCAGATGCTCGTTTGTGCTCCATTTCCGTAAGACATGCCAGGTGCCAGTCTGTTATCGTCGGGAGCCAGGCTATCCTGCAACCAAACAAAGAAGGCAAACAATGGATAAGGGGATGTAATTAAAAGTGGCTTCCAGACTACTGGATCAGTAACATTTGGAAAGATGTTAGGGTAGAGGAACTATAATGTTGGCATGAAATGAAACCTTTCTCATATGACCAACAAAGTACATTACACATATCATATGTGTAATTCTGCAGCAACTCTCTAAAGGCCCCATCATTGTTTGTAATTCTGGAAAGAAAGAAGAAAATAAGGATGGTGATTTAAGTACTCACCAATTCAAAAATGGACCTTCAGAAAATTTAGATGGTGATTGAATCCTTGAAGAGCTATATTCTTCTCTACCTACTCATGCACGGGAACATCCCTCCTGGAATTTCCAAAAGGCATCCTCAGGACCTCATCCACGGGAACAACACTTAGAACCCTGGCGCTGGAATTTCCCTAAGGCATATAAATTAATAAAGTTTAAGTTTTTCAGTTAAAACAATTGCTCAAACAATCACTTTTTAAAATTAAGTGTATCTTCATATTTTCTACATAAACAATCACTTGCACTTGCAATTTAAACTAAATAAACAACAAAGGGATAGAGTTCGTGAAAATTCGAGAGACCTAGGATAAGGGAACATATCAAAAAGATAGTATTTGGGCTTGGAGGTATCAATTTCATCGGGGGTTCGAAAAAGTCTGATATCCTCCCAATGACGCTGCCATTTGAGGTTGATTTCGTGGAAAGGATTGGGCCTCATCACCGGTTGCTGCTTCGGTTTTTGCTCCACCACTCCATTGGCTTTCTCGGCCATCGAGTTTACGATTACGGCGCTATTTCAAATTCGTACGGTAAAGCCGACAGAACAATGGAAAAATTGGATTAACACAATCAATAGTTCCTTGGAAGCTGAAATTAAAGCCCATGATGGGGATAAACATGAAATCTATAGGGATCTTCAATTTTTTTTTTTTTAAATGAGGATAGGTGTGGGGCTCATTCATGTTGGCCTTCAACGATCTAAATTGTTTATTTTTTAAATTGTATTTCATAAATCATTCTTGAAATATTAGTTAAATTAGGAAATGAATGTTTTAGGTAGCCAATTGAGTTAAAAATTTGATACGAACACTATGTTCTAAAAACATTGAATTTCATCATGAGAATCAAATGACTAAATGGTTTCGGACCGATTTGATTTTTTGTAAGGATAATCCATGAATGGAGATTTAAAAATAGACAACTTGGATTTGTTGGGGAGTAGGCCTCACAACTAGTCCCTATATTTGCAAAAATATAGAGACATGTATATGTCTATACTAGAGGCCCTTAAGTGAAGGGGTCTTTTTTTTTATTGAACATATGAATTAGTTGTAGGCTTCACACCACATCAAACTTAAACAATTTAAATTGTCTATTTTTCAAGTTGCATTTTTTAGATCATCTTTGCAAAATATTAGCCAAATAAAAAATATTTAGGATATTAATTCAAAGAAATTGACGAGCACCTTGTTCTATAAAAACAATAAACGATCCAGCTTTTTTTTTTTAGTACATCGATATTTTTACACTAAGGTGAGGAGGGGTTTAGTACAACTTAATTTGGTATCGAATTCGTCATCCACGATATTCAAACTTAAGATCTTTTACTTTCAAACAAAATAAAATATCATCAAATCATAATACTGAATGGTAATAATCCAGCTTTTTCGCTCCAAAGCTTTGGGCTCAAAGATTCACAATGAATTTCATTCCTGCACGGATAATCTGAGTGTAAGAATCTCCACACACTTGTTCCAATCAGATGGCGATGGGACCTGTGGGTACCCATATCCACTCATGTCACATACATGTCAAAACTTAAAAGAAGAAAAATCACGCCCAGTAGGCCCACCCTCTAAGGCCGACTCACTCAACTGGTCCCAACCAACCCCCCACCCCATACATCCCGGTCTTCCCAAGGGGCCCAAACTCTCTCCACACCCTCAAATCCTCCGGGTCAAGTCATGGCCCATGCGGCCATACCACAATCCTCACTCACGTGTCACGTGTCGCTCTCAAGTGTCATGAATTTATTGGAAGTGCATTACTCAATTTATTTATATTATTATTTCATGTTCATAATGTATTACAGGCCACTAGAATGTTTGCACGTGCAAATTTCAAAATTAAGATATTTCTCCCAGGCTCCAAAACCAACGCTCCAAGCCTTCTAGGCACAAAACATTGAAAAGTCCTCTTCGGGGACAAAGCTCCCACACCATCATGGACAGAAGACGATATTCTCTTGTCTTAATCTCTCTCTTCTTTTTATTCGATCTATTTGAAAGATTATAATTAAACTACATTAATATTTTGTATCGATTCTTTTATATAATAAAAAAAAAGATAAAAAAAAAATATAAAAGGAAAAGAGGGAAAAAGATGAGAATACGAAGAAGAGAATTTTACTCTTGTGATGATGGTAATACAAATTGGCACCAAATAATATGTCAAAATATTTACTTTTCTTTTTCTGACCCATGTTTATGGCATGGTTATTTTGAGAATTTTACTTGAAAACCAAACCCTTAGGCCTTAAGGATATACTAAGGTAGTTGACATTGATACGTTAAGAACTGAAATTCGAATTTGAGTGCAAGAAAATAATGCGCACTATCTTATCCTTATGAATTGGCCCAATTCATCTAAGGACATCACATCTCAATTTATATATGGACCTATTTGAACGATCATTAGTTTTGAGTTCAAAACTAGTTGTTTTACTACTTTAAGCTACACTGAGGGGAGAGGGAGCATTTGAACCCCGGGGGGGGGGGGGGGGGGCCGGGGGGGTGGGAATGACATAATGAGTTGAAAATGAAGAACTTATTCACCAAGACAATACAACTCCTGTTGTTTACGATTTTTTTTAATCATTAATTTTACTACCAAGGCCAACCTCAAATTCATATCACCAGCAATGACTGGTATCATTTTATCGACCAAATTTTTGTCTATTTGATTGTACCACGTTGATACAATCTTTGATGCAATACAATTGTTATATCTAAAATTTTGTGAATCGGTGACAAGTTTAGAATGCATAATAAATTTTGTAGAGTGCCAGTAACAACACAATCGCTACATATAACATTTTGTAAATCCATAAAAATCGAATAACATTTTCAAATATTCATGTAAGCGAATATATGAGAATTGGTTTTTCATTCCTTTTAACTTTGAATAAGTCTTAGTCCACCATATCATATTGTATTATATTCACTTGAATAGGTGAATTAGGTGAACCAAGTAATATCTAAACACAAATAAATTCCATCTAACAACTACAAAAACAAGACTTTGGAAACAAACTCAAGTGTCAAGAAATATCACAATCCCTAATATCCAATGGCCGCCCTCTCCTTATCAAGGTGTAAAGATTGACATTTAAAATCAAAATAGACACATTTTCTTTTTAGGTCAATAAAATAGACACATTTGAGTTCATACAAATTTAAAGAAATATCAACACCGACGTCCCATACAGAAAAATACTCCCACTTACTTCATAAGAAAATTCAAAGTTGTCTTTTTCATTCATTTATTAAATACTATGATAAATAGATTTGAAAAAAGCAATGGATAAAAAAGATGGAAGAGGATCCTCTTCGGATCCACTTTGTGGGAATTATAAGGATCCCTATATTTTAGTCGTTCATCGTATATCATACAGTTAATTTTTGTCATGTACTATTTGTGTTTAATTTTAAATAAAAAAAGTCAAATGATTTCTGATCACACGATGCAGAATGAATGACTAATATGTGAGAATCCCTAGGATCCCCATAATTTAGATCCGGATGGGATCCAAATCCAAAAAAAATTGTCCTAACTCCCAACTTATTTTCAAATTTTTATACAACTAATATCAAGGGAGCGGAGCCACTAGCAGTATATCTACTAATGTAATTAAGTCAGATTTACGTTGATAGTGTATTCGATATTAAACAATTATACGGATCTATTATGTGACTTTACACAACTCTTCACGCATAAGTATTTTTAATTATTTTTAGTTTTAATTGTAACGCCTTGTAGCTTTCATTGTAATTCTTTTTTAACAGAATGATATTTTAAATTATTCTACTTTACAAAAATGAGAATTTGAACACGAATAGTCTCAAATACTGTAAACCGACTGGCCTAACTCTCATGAATAGGACATATCAACTTCCCATCCAAGCGCAAGCCGAGCCGAGCCGAACAAGATGCCTTTGTCACAACATGACTTCTCCATCTAAGCAACCTCTCGACTAGGCTAGCAATTTCTTGGACGAACCATTAATCTGATAAGAAATAACACAAAAAGTAACATATTTCGAGTTAACTTGTTAAGGAGTCGGAATGTTATTAAATCACTCATTAAGAATCTGTTAATAAATTAGACCGTTGTTAGGTCACCAGTTAAAATAACGAGAATAACATAATCTATTATAATAACGAGTACAATACGAAAACGACATACACAGCACAAACACATCCGTTTGCCAGGGACCATGAACGTCCATATCGCAGATGCCACGCCCGCAACGAGCAAACCTTTCTTGTATGCTCTCCACGTGTCCCCTAGCCATTCGCCACATCACTTTCCTCTTTTTACTCTCACCTCTAAAGTTTTGAACTTTAAACCCTCGTCGGAACACTCTCGGACTTTTTATCTCTCGTCGGAGCTCTCCTCCTCAGTGGGTAGAGAGAGAAAACGCCACGATTTCTAGAGAGAGAAAGGAAAGCGAAGCTCAGAAAACAGAGATTAGACTATCTCTCTCGTGCTTTCTAGGTTAGGGTTTTTTTCCTTTTTCGTGTCGAAGTTCAAAGAGAAAAAGAAAAAGAAGCTCCGAGCTAAAAATTAGACGTTAAAGGTCGCGATTCTTTGCTTTATTACTGATATTTTAATTGGAATTATCTTTTTCTCGGATAAATTTTCTCGGGAAAATTTAGCGTCGACTGTAAGTTGCTTTTTGCCCGTTTATCTGGTTTTTCTATGCTGTAAAATTCCTTTTATAAACCGACGAGTCTTCCACCTCAAGCAAAGTTGTTCTTACATGTTTGAATTTTAGATATTTTTTTTTTTGGGAAATCAAAAAATTGACTGCTTTTTCTTTGTAGCAATTTCCCCTTGTTTTTTCTTTCCTTTTTGTGATATAAATTCGTGGAGTTCTGGTAGTAGTGGGAGTAGAATCTGCTCTGAATGTTTAGTTTGGATAAGAAAGTTTCAATCTTTGGAGAAATTGGGTTTTTTTGTGATGTTGGTTTTGTGGAAATTGGAGAAAATGTTGAGTTAAACTTGATGAAGGGTCGGAAAATTGATTTGGGATGATGTGGATTTTGTGATTAAGGTGGAAAAGATGGTTGGAATGGGGAATTCTGGAATTGTCTGAGGGTTGCAGCATGAGTTGCAGCGTGAGGAGCGGCGGAAGAGAAGGGAGGGAGCGCGAGCAAGCCGTTTTGAGGAAGTCCGTGGATGTCGAGACCAACTCGGGCTCGCAGAATGGTTTGATTGCTGCCCAGCAGCTGACAATTGACGAGAATTTGCTGGTGGACCCGAAATTGTTGTTTATCGGGGCGAAAATTGGTGAGGGAGCACATGGCAAGGTTTATGAAGGAAGGTCAGTCTCAATTCCTTTTCAGTCAACTCTTATGCTCTCAACTTAGTTGCTATTTACTTTGCTTGCTGTGTTTGGTAAAAAAATGTAATGTACTTCTTCGAGATTAATTTGCTCTTGATTAACGTTTTATTTGGATGAATGCAAGTCCTGGTTATCAGCTGAAAAGTTTTTTTTGTAGATTTGTGAGAGTTACTGATTTTGGTGTCATCAGATGAATTAGGTTGTACCATTGTGTTATTGCGAGGAATGTTTGTGAGTGGTCTGTGTGTTATCAAGTGTATTAGTTATGTACATGTAGTCTAACGATTTTTCAGATACGGTGATCGAATTGTTGCTGTCAAAGTCCTCCATCGTGGGAGCACTACTGAAGAAAGAGCTGCGCTTGAGAGTCGTTTTGCCCGTGAAGTTAATATGATGTCCCGAGTAAAACACGAAAATCTTGTTAAGGTAAGTGCCGTGATTAAACATGTCCTCTTTAGTTCATGCATGCTCAAACGGTTTGCAAACCGTTGGCTTTCATATTGTTTCACTGGAATTCTTAATTTAATTCTTCTTTCTACAGTTTATTGGAGCTTGTAAGGAGCCGCTTATGGTGATAGTTACTGAGCTATTACCTGGGATGTCACTTAGGAAGTACCTGATGAGTATTCGTCCAAATCCATTAGAACTCCACGTAGCCATTAAATTTTCTCTTGACATCGCTCACGCTATGGAATGTTTACATGCCAATGGGATCATACATAGAGATCTAAAGCCGGGTACCGTATTGCTAGTTTGAGCTGTACTTCACTTCTGTGGTTTTTTATTGCTGGATAATGTGTAGTGGAACAATTGGCTTGTTTATATTTTATCGGATAGTGCTATTCACACACCCTTGTTAATTTTTGTCCATTGATCTTCTTCAATTCATCCAATCCAATGGCCTGAATTTGAGAGGGGTGTGAGGGAGGTAAAAATGGTGCTGGGATAGCACTACCCTACTTTTTCAGTTGACAGACATTTTTTTAATAAATAAAATTAAGTAAATAATCCAATTCTTATAAAGGAAACATTGTGTCTCTTTCTTTTTATGGTTCTGTTAAATAAATTTGACGAAATTGCAGTGGTGCTTGATCTAGAAGTTTTCCCCCTTGCCGCAGATGTTGCTTACAGTTTTCTCCAAGTTGAATTATTCTTTTTGTTGGACTTCCATTTAGTTCGGAAAGTTGCTTTCATATGATCAGTTTATGCTATCCTAGGACCAACAGTTTTGAAATGATAAATGGTAAAAGAATGCAGCTTCACTTGGCAAGACTAGGCTGTACTTTAGTTCTAGATGCTTGCCCTTTTTATTTTCAGCTGGGTTATGTGATGCTGGTTTTTCAATTTAGTATCATTACTCTTGAAAATTAGTAAGTTTCGTTTTCGTGGATCACATTGAAGCATTTTTATGTGGCTCAATTAGTATTATTATTCTTATGGTTTTTAATGATACATATGAAATGTCATATTGCAGACAATTTGTTGCTTACGGCGAATCAGAAACATGTAAAGCTTGCAGATTTTGGTCTTGCAAGAGAAGAAACGGTTACAGAGATGATGACAGCAGAAACTGGGACTTACCGCTGGATGGCTCCTGAGGTTTGTCAACATGTTATCTTGCTCGTTTTATATTACTTTTAATCGCTGATACAAGAACTTTTATTTGGTTGAATAAACTGGACAGGTCTAGCCTTTTTGTTTTGGAAACGTTGCATGGTTGTTTGAGTAGAATGCAGAACAATAAGTTATTACTCTCGTTCTGCCTTCTGAACGTATTTATAGGTGCATTTCAATTGTGTATCTATGATAGATAGGTTTGAAAATGCTTCATTTGAAATACGAATATTGCCAGAATAATTTTAAACCTTGATTTGTCCATAACTACTCTGGTTGCTGGGGCTGATTTTGGGTTTGGAAGGACTTTCCTACACGCAGAAACATAGACATTGATAATGACTTGATGCAGATATTTAACTGTTACATATGGATTCTAATTTCGCTGTTCGTGGTTTCTATTTTAATTAGGGTTGGAGGGGGTGAGTTAGGGTTTGTATAATACGTTGAACTAGTTACCATGTATCCCAAGTATCATTTAACAAAATGTTAGAACACTATCAATCATGCAACGTTATGTGCTGATGAGTCAAGCTTTGTAGTTCCATTCAGGTCCTTTTGGTTGGTTTTTGTTTCTGAATCTGCTTAAAAGCTATATTGATCTGCTTTAATGTATCTTGCAGCTATATAGCACAGTAACTTTGCGACAGGGAGAGAAGAAGCATTACAATAACAAGGTCGATGTATATAGCTTTGGGATTGTCTTATGGGAATTATTGACTAACCGCATGCCCTTCGAAGGCATGTCCAATTTGCAGGCCGCTTATGCTGCTGCTTTCAAGGTATAACAACTCAATCTGTTATTTCTGTTAATGCATTCGGTCATTCTGTGCAGTCTGTCATTTCTGTTAAAACCAGTATTCTTTTTTATGTTGCTTACTCTTGCATTGTTGTCTGAGAATGCAGCAAGAGAGGCCTCTACTTCCGGAGGACATATCGCCCGATCTTGCATTTATCATTCAGTCCTGTTGGGTTGAGGACCCCAATCTAAGGCCTACGTTCAGCCAGATCATCCGCATGCTCAATTCGTTCCTCTTCAAACTCTCACCACCCTCACCGCCGATACCAGACACTGACATGAAAGAAGCAGCAGCAAGTAACGGTACCATGACTGAATTATCTGCCAGGACAAGAGGGAAGTTCGCCTTCCTCAGGCAACTGTTCAATGCCAAGAGGACCAAGAGCTCACAGTGAGCAGGCAACATATTTTTGGAAACCATCTTGTTCCAACTGAAAGGAACTAGGCAGACACACGATCGTAGATACAATTTTAGTGAATTCGTGATCAATCACTCGAAAAACGATGATATGATGTGCAAAAGACGAGAAAACACGAAATCAAATAGTGTTTGATGGGTGGAAAATTCATCAAGAAAATAAACAGAAAAAAATTGAGGTTGGTTGTTGTGTAGGAGGTGACCTTATTGTAAAGGAACAATTTTCTCTTCTCATCAAATGGAACCCCTTCTTTTATGCCAAATCATTCCGTGTATTTACATTTGTAGCCTTGTAGGTAAAGAAACTCCAGCCAAAATAGTTTGCTAATAGAGGGTTACCATGGTCATAACATCGGATACGAACGTCGTCGTTTCGGGACTCTTCAAATACATAATCAAATCCCAATCAGCTGTCGAGAAAGCTCAGAGCTTTCGGAATGGAAGATGCTGAGTGTGAACCTCGCCGTCTCCCACACACTCTCCAAGCTTCTGCAACTTCCACATTTCTCTTCCATGGCGCAAGTCGAATCGGCCCAAGCTTTCCTCACGAAGGCAGGTCTCTTCTTCTCTCACCAACCCATTGTCGGAAAGCTCGTTGCTTTCGCGTCGCTGTCGCCGCTGGGATGCCTGGCGCACGCCCATGCCCTGTTCGAAGAGACCGCCATGGACGACCCCTTCGTCTGCAACACCATGATCAGAGCTTACAGCAACAGCGTCTTCCCCGTCAGAGCAATACAAATTTACAACCGTATGCAGGAGATGGGTGTTGGGTCTGATCACTTCACCTTCAATTTCGCGCTCAAGGCTTGCGCCAGAGTGGTGAAGCAGATGAAAGATGGTTTGAAATCGCACGGATTTGGGCTGGATAGAAAGGGAGGGGAAATTCATTGCCGGGTTTTGAAGTTGGGGTTCGATCGTGATTTGTATGTGCGGAATTCGTTGCTTTTTGTGTACTGTCAGTGTGGGTTTGTGAGACTTGCGCGGTGCGTGTTCGACGAAATGACTGAGAGAAGTGTTGCTTCTTGGAATATTATGATATCGGCTTATGATCGGGTTAACGACTTCGAATCCTCTGATTCTTTGTTTCGATCGATGCCTGAGAAGAATGTGGTTTCCTGGAATACTTTGTTGGCAAGGCATGTTAGGTTGAGCAACATTGAGGCTGCGAAAATGGTGTTCAGAGAAATGACAGGGAAAGATTCAGTTTCTTGGAATTCTATGATTGCTGGGTATGTTCAGGTTAGAGATTACGATGGAGCATTGAAGCTCTTCAATGAAATGCAAGTTGCCGAGGTGGAAGCTACTGAAGTAACGCTCATATCAATCTTGGGTGCTTGTGCTGAAACCGGCGCGTTGGAGATTGGAAGGAAGATCCACGAGTCCCTGAAGCACCATAAGATTGGAGGGTATTTGGGGGTTGCCCTTGTAGATATGTATTCGAAATGCGGAAAATTGAATTCAGCCTGGGAAGTGTTCCATGAGCTGAAAATGAAACCCGTCGGCTGCTGGAACGCGATGATTGTGGGTCTGGCCGTACATGGTTACTGCAACGAGGCTCTGAAATTGTTCAAAACTATGGAAATGCAGCATGGCGAAGTCAGGCCTAATCGGATTACATTCATCGGCGTTCTCATTGCGTGCAGCCACAAAGGTTTGGTGGAAGAAGGACGCCGGTATTTCAATCACATGATTCAAGAATACAACATTATGCCGGACAATAAACATTACGGTTGCATGGTTGATCTTCTCAGCAGAACGGGATTGCTTGAAGACGCCTACGAGATGATCAAAACTGTGCCTAGCGGCGCAACCTCCTTGCTGTGGAGGACCTTGTTGGGTGCTTGTAGGGTGCATGGAAACGTAGAATTGGCGGAACAAAGCTTTCGGCAGCTTGCGAAATTGGAGCCTCCAAGGGATGCAGATTATGTTTTGTTGTCAAACATCTATGCAGAAGCAGAGAGATGGGACGACGTTGAGCGTTTGAGGAACGAGATGATTTGTAAGGGAGTCCCCAAAACGCTCGGCTTCAGCCATGTAGAGATGAAGTAATTGAAGACAAGTTATGATTTTATATGGATAATTGGATATAATTTGTCAGCAAAACAAAACCACTTTGTAACAGATTTTGTCAATTGAAATTCTAAAGTCTTACAAGTAGTTATGTTAGTCAATTTTCAGTCTATCGTGCAAATTTGGGTTGGAACTTAAGTATTGTTAAACAAGAACGTACAAGAAAAAGATGTGCGGAAATCACGTTATTTTTGTTATCAGCTTTGAAAATATTTGTGAATGGTGGTCCAAGGACCACCTGGTAATTTCTTTTGAAAAGTAGTGCTTGGCCTTCATGTGCCTTACCCTAGCAGGAGTGCAATGGTGCTGTGCCTGCACTCTCTCTGTGTTTGCATGTTGGCGTGTGGTATTGGGACTTTGAAGGACTGATGAAGGCAACAATGCATGACCATGTTCGACACTTTCCTCTGGTCTTAATGGTGTCATACACATGTCACTGTCTACTATTTTGGCGATAGACTAAGGTTCCCTCATTAAAAGCAAAGAAAATTACCTCCACCTGGAATATAGTGACCACACGGATGGTACAGCGACGATATGTTATCTTTTATTCTGGTTTGAAGGGTGTCATATAGACAAAGGTTCCTTTAGTGAAGGGAGAGAAAATTTACTTGTACCTTACAACTGAGATGTCATTGTGGTGTTGTAAGCTGACCATTTATTGTCATGTGTTTTAACCTTTTTATATAAAATTGTGGGCCTATCATGAGCATCTCAAGTGTAGGATGACTTCAATGACACAAGTACAACGTATTACGATGTCATGTACTAATGATGCAATGTCACGTGAAAATTGTTCCCAATAAGAGTGTGGGACTATCACGAGCAAGGTTTTAAAAGACGCTAGGCACTAGTCGGGCGACGAGCTGGGACCTAACGGCTAGGCGGAGTTTAGACGGGTGCCTAGGCAGATTTAAAGTAAATCTATTATATTTCGTGTAAATAAGTGTTTATTTATACTTAAAATATATATAATTTCAATATAAACTACAAAATAAAATTACATATATATTATGAAGTAATGGAACATAATGATAAAATGGGGAACAAGCATATAATGTGTGTTCATTTAAATATTGAACAAGTCTTTTACAATTTATTGAGAAAAATAAAATGCAAAATGAAAGTTATTTATATTCTGTCTAAGTGAGTCACAACCTAGATGGGTGCCTAGGTGGGTTTGGGCGAGCTAGGCGGGCTAAGTGGGTGCCTAGGCAGTCTAGGTGCCTTTTCTTAATTTTCAAACGCCTAGACTTTAATTGGGACGGTGGCCAACCGCCTAGCACCTAGCGGCACTAGGCGGGTTTTTTTAGAACAGTGATCATGAGTATCTCAAGTGTAGGATGACTTTAGAGGCACAAGTACAATGTCCTTGTGATGTTATTACTAATGATGCAATGTCATGTGTAAACTGCACCTAATAAAATGGTAATTTGAGGCTTTCTATATTTAGGGAAAAGTACATTTGTCTCTTTGGGTGCGTTTGTTGTACCGGACTATCTCGAACTAGATTAGCTTGAGGGACTAAGCTGGACTGATTTAGTGAAGCGTTTGGTGCAGTGTCGAACTAAGAAACAGAATAATTATAAATAATAAAAAAAAAGGAAAAAAACAACCGGTGATATATAAAAAAATATCCATGTTATTGTTATTTGCTTCAACTTCAATTTCAACCAACATCAAAATTTCAACCAAAATTTCCAGTTCCTAAATTCTACCAACGTCAATTTCAACTAAAATTTCCAATTCCCAAATTCTACCAAAATTTCAATCAATTTCAACTAACCTACAATCAAATTCTAAATTGCATATTACCCAGAGGAAGAATTGGCAAATTAACTCATAATCTACCCCAAAAATTCATGTTCTCTATTAAAAACCAAAGATTTACAACCTCAATTTCTCAAAGGCCACGCATTGGCAATATATTTCCCATGAACGGTAAGCAAATCAGGCCTCCATCTGCGTCATTAAGGCCTCTATCTACGAATCAAACCTCCAGCCACGAGCCTCCATTTTCAATTGCGGATCTCAGTCAACCAAATTCATCCATGTTCCTTCGACCCCACCATCGTCTCCTCCTCCGAACCTCTCTTCTCCGATGACCCACCCTCATCCCATCCTCCAATTGACGTGAATGGCCATGCTGCCAGCAGTGGAGAGCTCAGACTCATCCTTGCACCTATCGTCGTCGTTCTCATCTTTTATGTAGCTTAGATTAAACCCAAAGAAGCGCAAAGCTGAGATTTTGTACATCTCGTCGACGATCGTTGCTGTCGATGGTGTGGTCCGACAAGGTTGGTCGAGCAAACCAAAACAAAGACACGAGGAGGACGGTTGGACGAGGACACGAGGAGGAAAGGACGCGAACGGTCTTAGCAATCCCTTACTGATTGGGGGTCTCGCTAAGCCCTTCTAACGAAAGACTTAGTCGAAGTGTGTTTGGTCTAATCTCATTAAACCTAATCCTTGTGCAAACCAAACATGAGACTACACTAGCAATTAGTCTAGTCTAGTTCAGTCCCCCCCTAATTCGGTCAAACAAACACACCCTTTAAGTAAACTGCACTTGTACATTTGGCTCTTGAAGTTAATTGAAATTGTGGCCTATTTTGATGGAAAGACATTCCCTTAGTTTTGATGGAAAGACTTTTCCTTTTCCATATAAGCAAGTAATTAGTAGAGATTTTTCCAAAAGACTGTTAGTTTCCAGTCGTTTCCTTTTGTTTTTGGCCAAATTGCCAAAAGCACTTTTCAAAGAAAATTTATTATGGATTTCTATTTCCGTGAAATTCGGATAACTCAAAGATTCTAAATTTCAGATTCGTTGTCCAATTTTAGTTTGAATTTCAAAGTTTTTAATTACTATGCACCGAAGTATAGTTATGCCTTGGAGTTTTAAACGGTAAGGTGATTTGAATTCTTTGACCAAATAAAAATATGAACTATCACATTTTTTAGTCTTTTTGGAAATTTCTTGATGAGGACATTGGGATCAAAATAAATTAGTAAAATAAAACAAAATAAAAATAATAAAAATAGAAATAGACCAACAAGGCAACAACAACCGAGCTCCAATCCCGTACGTGTGACCTGACCCCAGTGTAAGACGGCAATTTTGTTGACCGGTCGGAAGCCGTCCGATCAAATCAGAAACGCACGTGGCGGAATCAAAAACAAACACTCGAAGTCAATGCCGTCTCCTCGTTGTAACTCGGAAGCTGGTAGAAAAGTAAGCGAAATTTACAGAGAGAGAAAGAGAGAACTGTAGAGAGAGAGACAGAGAGAGAGGGAGAATTGGAGAGAGAGAAGGGGTGGGAGAAGTACACACACAGAAAGAGAATGAGAAAGATTGGATAATCTTTCCATGGATTTTTGAGATCTAGAGGAAGGAGAAAGAGCTCCGGCTTGTTCGACATATCGAGTTCGAATCGAAGATTTTTCAGAGTCAAAGCAGCCGAAGAACACAGAGAGAGAGAGAGAGAGAGAGAGAGAGAGAGAGAGAGAAGTCAGCCGAAGAACAAGTCCCGAGCTTTCTCGGGAAAATGGTCGAACAGAGAAATCTCCAAAAACCAATTCAGAAAACGCCACGATTTCCCAATCCCCTGTGGGTTTCTGGGAAAGTTTCCAACTTGGTCCTTTGAATTGAGCTCCAGAACCCGAACAGGCAACTGGGTTTTGTGTTTCGAATTTGGGGTCGGGTTTTATCATCCGTGATCAGAAGAAGAGTGAGAGGGTTTTGGGGCAGTAGTGTGATGAGAAATGGGAGAAAATGCAGCAGCTTTGCACACAGCTGTGAACTCCGTACAGGCATTAGGAAGAGGTTTCGACGTGAACTTCGATACAAGGTTGCTATACTGTAAGGGAGCTGTGGGTACCAGGATTCTGGAGCTTGACGAGGAGTGCACCAGGGATATCTGCCTATATGATGAGATAGTTGTACCGGGTGTTTCGAGGGACATCAGGCATTCGCAGGAGGCCGGCGGCCGGCAGAGCTCTGGAGTCTGCAGCTTCCATGAGGTAATGCTTACGGTTTCATTGTATTATGGGATTGTTGTTTGATTGTGTACTTAGGTTGTTGTGTTTGCTATGAGGGTTTAGGTGGATGTTGTAAGAGTTTGTGAATTGGTTTTAGGTTGCAATTTTGCAAACATTTTACTATGATGTGACTGTAGGGAAAGCGGATACGTGTTTAAGTTATGAGATTGATGTTCTTGAGAAATATTTCGCAAATTTGAGTAAGAAATGATGGGTAGTTGCAGAAAGTTAAATGGAACTTCATAAATGTGTTTGTTTTTAGCGTCGGATGGGTTTAATGTAAAGGCATGGAAAATGGTCATCTCCATATGGCTCCGACTCCATGTTTTGTGTCCTGCCACGGTTCATGTGTGATAATAATGTTCATAAATTACTTCCCTCGATGCACTAGCTACAACGTGTTAAACCTTTTTAATAATGTAATGGACTAGGAAATAGCTGGGCGATTGAATGCTCAGCTTGTAGGTACTTGTATGAGCTAGTTTAGCAACCAAACAAGAGCAGCATCTTAGTGGTTTTGAGACATTGGTGATTGTGCTCAACAGCATTTATCTCTGTTGCATTTTTTAAGAGGCTGTGGCTTACTTTTAACACTGTGTGTGTGCTCGCGCGCGTGTGTGTGAGAGAGAGAACCCCAAAGTTATTTAATGTGATCCTCGTGGCAAATGGTTGCAGATGGTTGAGTATTTCAATCAAAAGTCTAACGCATCTGGCAGCTTTCCTCTTGGGAGTTTCAACTTTGCATTTAGCTTCACTGGTTCAAAACATATTGATGCTGCAGCCACGAAGACTCTTTGTGTGGATGGATTCTATATTCCACTTGCTAAGGTCCAACTTTTCAAATCCCCAATAGTGTTGCAAGAAAATGTTAAACAGGCTGTCCCGAGTAGTTGGGATCCAGCATCCTTGGCAAGGTATGATTATGTATAACTTCAGTAGAAATATAGTGATGAAATAGTTACAAATGTTTCCTAATAACTGGTCACTCTTTCTTGATAGCTTTATTGAAAATTTTGGAACGCATGTCATAACATCAGTAACAATTGGTGGGAAAGATGTAATTTACGTTAAACAACACCATTCATCTCCATTGTCTACCATGGAGATCAAAAACTATGTCCGGGACATTGGAACTCAAAGGTTCTCAGATACAGAAAGCAATGGAACTTCAGGTCAAATGAAATTCAATGATAAGGCTAGTTCCGCTTTGTTTCTTTTCCTTTTTATTACTTAATAGCCTCCGTCTTTACTTGAAATTTAATTTCTGAGTATCACTTTTTATATATATACATTCAGGGTGGTGATCCTGGTTTATTCAACAGTCAAGGGATATATCCTCAACCCACTAGTGCACCATATCTTGCTGGGAAAGAAGTATGTAACGCATTTATTATTTGTCTGCAGTATCTCTGATGCGCTTGATGGTTTATCATGAGAAACAAATTTAAAAAAAGTATATAGTTGCTTCTGTCTCTGAACCTCTATTTTCCTTACATATAATATAGTTTACCATTTCTTAAATACATAAGAAGTAGAGAGTAAACTCTCACCCAGCCCTTGATTTTGGCATACCTTTGAATTTAATCACCTTGCTACCGAGTTGTGTTAGTTCTAGATGTTATTTCTCACGAACTTAAATTATTGTTGATGCAGGATGTCACGGTCATTTTCAGAAGAAGGGGAGGAGACGACCTGGAACAAAACCACACCCAATGGGCAAGAACTGTCCGTTCCTCTCCAGATGTAATTGAGATGACATTTTTTCCTATAGCGGCCCTACTGGAAGAGATACCTGGAAAAGAGCACCTGACTCGAGCTATTGGTCTTTACCTTGAATGTACGACAAATGAAATTGTCATAGATCAATTAGAGTTTTCTTTTTCCTGTAGTGTGCTCTAGCGTCAGCAGTAAGGTAATCCTGATAAACGGTTTTGAAATTCTTCTTGTAGATAAGCCTCCAATAGAAGAGCTGAGATATTTCCTGGAGTTTCAAATTTCTCGAATTTGGGCTCCTGTATATGATAGAAATATTGGGCATCAAAGAAAGGAACCTGTTTGCCCATCCTTGCAATTCAGCATAATGGGGCAAAAGCTTTATGTCAGCCAAGAACAGGTACGTCTTTTTCCAGCAATCAATCTCTCTTCGCTGAGCTCTTCCATCCTTTAGGAGGCATATATCTGTCTTTGGACAGAATGAGACAAAAATTTGCTCCATTCTCTTTGGGCGGGGCCTGGATTGTATGAGACAGTGGGACATCACGTCCTTGAGATGTATAAATAGCCATTTCATTATTTTTTGTGATTTCGCAGTCTGAATTTGATTCATGTTTTGATAAAAAAACCTTAGTTGTCAAAATTACACATCCTTCTTGGTTATGTCATGTAATCCCCATCAATGAAATTTTACAATGTGCAGGTTACTGTTAAACGGAAGCCAGTCACAGGCCTACGGTTATATCTAGAAGGAAGCAAGCAGAATCGACTTTGTATCCATCTTCAACACTTAGCATCTCTTCCAAAGATCCTTCGACCATATTGGGACAGTGATGTGGCAATTGGTGCTCCCAAGTGGCAAGGACCTGAAGAGCAGGACAGCCGATGGTTTGAACCAGTAAAATGGAAAAACTTCTCTCATGTGAGCACTGCACCAATCGAGAACCCTGAAACCTTCATAGGGGATCTCTCTGGTGTCTACATAGTCACTGGTGCACAGCTCGGAGTGTGGGACTTTGGATCGAGAAATGTCTTGTACATGAAGCTGTCATATTCTAGGCTGCCAGGCTGCACCGTACGGAGATCCTTGTGGGATCATATGCCAAATGAAAAGTCAAAGAAAGCAACATCCATGGGCGACTCAAGTTCAGGTTCAAGAGAACATGTCGCTGCCAACAAGTTGGTGAAGGTTGTGGACATGTCTGAGATGAGCAAGGGGCCACGAGACCATCCTGGTCATTGGCTGGTTACCGGCGGAAAGCTTGGCGTGGAGAGAGGGAAAATTGTTTTAAGAGTGAAATATTCGTTACTAAGTTATTGAGTCGTTTATACATTTGCAAGATTGATGTGCACAGTGGTGGTTTTTTGTTAGGTGAGAGGTAGTGTCTTTGGTGTTCATCTTGCATGTAACCTTTGGCTGTGTGATGGACAAAAAGAGTGAGAAGAGGATTGTGTCTTTGGGTGGTTTTAGTGTGAGTAGCTGCTGCCTCTTGAGATGTGTTTGTAAGTAAAACGTTTGATATGTTAAGTTAATTTCGTGAAAGAAGCCACGTTTTAGATGCAATTATATCCCTCATTTACTAGGATCATAATTAATTGAATTGTTCCTTAAGGTGGAAAAGTTGTCCTCTTTCATATGTTTAGCAAAGCTTAACAAAAATAAACGAAAACATACACAAATGAATCTAGTTACAAAGGTTTGGAGAAAAAAAATTGAAGCTTGAGGGCTTTTGAGATGTCAATAAAGAAGCACTAAGTTGTGTTTGATGTTACATGTTTAGAACTGGTTCTATTTCTATTTATTTTCCAAATATACAGTTTATTGTCGGGTTTTCTCTCGTTTTATTGTCTATTGATAGTTTGTAACCAGTTTTTTTTGTATTTATTTTCTAATTATGTGCATTTACCAAAAACAATTAATGAGAGAGATATATAAACATAGTGGCATACTTAGCTGGATGTATAAAATTTGCATCTACATCATTGATGTGATATTATACTTTTACAAAATCAAAGATGATAACTGCAAAGCAGTTTTATGGATAATTAATTTATGAATATATAAGTCTATTTTTGTATCTGTAATTGTTCTCCAGAAATGATCTAAAACTGGCCACCTTCAAAAGTCTGTCCAAACTGCCAACCAGCCGGCACGACATTGTAGCTGGTGACGGTGCGTCCGTCGCTAGTGGTGACCTTGAAGGAGAGCCTCTGGCCATTGAGGTAGGAGTTGCTCTGCCAATTCTGGCCCCAGTTTCTTGACATGGGTAGCCACCCTGTCCTAGAACCCTTGATAGACACCGCACGGACGTCCCCTGCACCCCCAACATTTGTGATCAAAACCAAGTTGAAGTATGAGTGGCCATTGACGGTGAACCTTATGCCTCCTTTCTTCAGACATGGAACCCTGAACAAGAAAATTACAACTAATTAATCACTACAAATGTGTCTTTAAGCTATTACAATTTTCTCTCGTTAGTAGCAGGTCTGGTATGTTATGTTGTTAGACTGTCAATTAAATCCTTGATAAGTTGAATTCATCTTGTTTAGATATGTTACCTTCTAAAGAGTACTGGGACAATTCCACCACGATATTCAGCGATATGCAAGAAAGCAGGCTCAGCCAAATCAAAGTGTTGAAGAGGAGGGTTGCACCAGCCACCGTTGTCGTTAGACAAAGCATTATTAGGAGGACAGAAGTTGGTGGCTGTGACAGTGATGACACCGCCCGGGAGGCACCATTTGGGGTCACTCTGATGGTTGCATCTTAGTTGGTAACACGCTCCGCAACTCAAACCACTGTTGAAAAGAGCAGTGCTTAGAGCTGCGGTGCTAGTCCCGTACCCCTGGCTGTACAAGTTTCCATAACCACACGCACCTCCTACAAATAAGAGTAGACCCGAAATTTGAGTATATGAAAGGAAAACTATAACATCAAATGGTGAACAAAATTGGTGAGCGTAGCGGCTCTCATTTAGCATTTAGAAATGATTAACCGTAAGCACTATATAAAGAACATAATCACTTCAAGCTTACCCATTGTGCCAACAGCATCACTGCCACCATAAAATGTTGCATGACCAGTATGCCATCCGCCATCGGAGGCATGCGTGACTTGAAGACTTAAGTGGCATATGAAGAAGAGAAACTGCAGGATCTTCACTGCTTTCATAGCCATTGTTTGATCTTAATCAATTTGTGAGTGTCTGTGTGTTCGTGAATGAAAGGGTGGCTCGGCATATATAGTAAGGAAAAAGAGTAGCGAGTACCGTTCGAGCATTGAAAAATGAATAGTTGGGTGCGATTGTCACGTTGAGCTTGAGCCGAACTCAACAACCGTACTAAATGGTTTTTAATCACCTCATGACTGATTACTATTAATTTAATAATATATATATACGCATGTAAAATGTTATATGTTGGATTCTCCTTAATTTCTAATTCCAACTTAAAAACTAGAGATTTTTCAGTATAATTTCAATCTAACCTGTATTATATATAAAATATGCATTATTACTTTTTAGGTCAGTAACTTATTCAGTATTACGTTCACTCATATAACATCACATGATATTGAAATGGCCACAACTCAAAATATTTTGGAATCAAAACCCTAGTTCGCTACTCACTCAAGCACTCTTCTCTATGTCATTTTTCTTAATTATTTTAAATTTAACTTGGGAATTTAGTTTAATTTCCTCTAAACCGACAAACACATAACTAGTAATGTAAATTGTCAACCCCTAAATACAAAATTTTGATGATAATTTAGTTTAAACATAATTGTATTTTGTTTAGAGGAGGGGCAGTCTGAGAAAAATTTGAAGGATCACGAGGGAGTAGGAACAATAAAATAGGGTTGACCTAGAAATTACAGTGACGTGTACTAATTGTTGGAGGGTTGAATCACATGGAGGATTATATTATAGATTGATTGGTTGAGCTACTGGCCGTCCCAATAAGGAGTCTTGTTAGGGAGATGATGATGTGGCAGTAGAAGTTGAGACAAGGTTGGAACTTAGAAGCACATCCCAAATTATAGTTTCCAAAACCAAAAAATTCTATTTATTAATATGATGAAACAAATATAGGTTATGCAAGTTAGTTAAGATAGTGTGAACGGTTCGCAATCAAGTTCAAGTTTACTATTTTGCATATTAGAGTAGTTTAAATGGTCAATCTGGTCAATCTTAGTTTACTAAGTTTCTTGGTTTTCAACATTTGATCCATCAAGTTTTTTTCGTCCTAAAGTAGTAGCTGAAGTCAAAATTTTGGGACAGTTTAAGGTTGCTGTTAAGTCAACCGTTAACTAGTGGCGTGGCGCCTAGGTGGATAATGACCAAGTGTCACGTGCCAATATAGGGCTCATGTAGATATTAAAAATTTTTAAATTATATAAGAATTTAAAATTTAAAAAAAAAAAAACCTAACAATTAAAAGTAAAAAATAAAAATAAAAAAAAAACTAAAACCCTAAAATTTATGCTTTTAATTTTAAATTTGAAATTGTTTTTTAATTTTTTAATATCCACGCGGCTTAGATTGATATGTGGCACCCAGTCATTGTCCACATAGATGTCACGCCACAGGTTAATTGCTAACTTAACAACAACCTTAACGGATGTATGAAACCGTCCCAATATTTTGACTTCAAGTACCACTCTCAATTGAATAAAAAAAAATTAAAAAAAAAAAAAAACGTTAATGTACCAAATGTTGAAAATTAAGAAATTTAAAAATAGTAAACTGAAATTAACCCTTAAATATATGTCCTAATTAACATGTGTGCATGTTCATTGTTTCACTCGAAGTAACGTAAAGATGATGAAAATGAGGAAGGTCCTACATCTAGCAGGTAAACCAATGTTTTCATTGGAAAGAGATCCTCTTCAGATCTCTTCTACCAAGGCCACCGGATTAAGTGATCTGGACTCTTGAAATTTAATCCAACGCCTAAAAACAGGGGTCCCTTTAAAGGTTATAATAATTTTAACCGTTGAATCAAATTTCAAAAGCTCAGATCACTTGATTCAGTGGTCTTGGTGGAAGAGATCCAAGAGGATCTCTTTCGTTTTCATTAGCATTATGTTAGGGTAGCCCACGCCAGGTCAGCAATTATACATCTCATAAAAGTTCTTCATAAGCACACACTCACTCCATGCATGCACCTTTGAAGGGCGCTTTAAGTCTTTATGATCGTACATAGGGCATCCCTCACCCTCCAAATTAAGGTCACACATGCATGCTACAGAAAACAACTAAAAATAACTGTAAAATATTGCACGTGCTAGGTCAAGGAAATCCAACGGTGGAAAAAGATTACCCAAGTGTTCAATTCTTTCTCTGCGTATAGATTGCAAGTCACCGGAGAATATGTGATGGTTCAATCTTTCTAATTTCCTTTATCTTTCTATATGTAAGTATAGTTGTCTTTGTTTTTACATTTTAGGATTTATATATCTTCAGGGGCAGATTCATTCACATACTCTGGTGATCCCGAGACCACTCCAGGAGTTCGAAGGAGCGCTTGTGAGGACCTCCATGATCACCCAACGGTCTGGGCAGGTGATGGAAGAGAGAATACCACCAGAGCTGTGTAGATATTGTGCAATAGAAGATTTAGAACAAGAAGAATGATTTAATTTTAGATGAGGAGGAACACAGAAAAGACAACCATAGTTTTGCTATTCTTGGACCTTGGTTCCAACAAAGAAGATTTTCTCTCTATTTTCCTTGTGACCAACTCTTCATGTAGTACTCAACCAATACTTTTTATACCATATATTTGACACCATTATTATTTTTTTCTAAAATTCACTTTTCTGAAAAATATTTCGTAAAATATGACGAGCTCATAGTCACCTGAACTTTCATCTCATACAATCAAATTCACTAAAATACTAAAGCAAAAATTGTGATGTTTTTGTATGTTATATGTTAACAACGTAATTAAAATAATAAACCCAAATTCTCAATACAACTATATTTTTTTTACTAAGTGTAAATAGGCACTCATTTATATGATAATAAATAAATTTACTTAAACCTGACTAGTCCGTCTAGGCTTCTGCCTAGCCCCATCTAGGTACATAGGTTCTAGACACTAACCTAATACCCAACTAGCACCTAGCGTACCTTGATTAGTCACCACCCAAATGCTAGAAATATGTCAATCACAAAATCAAGGCCCAGTTTGAAAGCCAATACCCATAAAACACTAGCCTAATCCCTTATACATGTAGTACACTAAGGGTGCCTTTGTTCCACCAAACTATTTCGGTTTAGATTAGTTTTAGGGATTAAGCTGGACTGACTTAAACTAGACTAAGCTAGATTGATTTAGTGAAATGTTTGAGTGTAGTGTCGAACTAAGAAGCAGAATAATTAATAAACTCTAAAATTATATTATTTAATTCATATTCTTTTTAATAATTTTTTTATAAATTATCATATTATACTATTATACTATTTAATCTATATCTTTTTTAATACTTAATTATTTTTGACAACCCGTCCCTACTTTTATGATTTTATTAATTTTAAAAGAGTGAATGGACGAAAATGCCATTGAGGCGAGATTGTTGACCTTCGTTGACCGTCAATTTGTGAAACAAACAGGCTGTATTTTACCGTATTTTTGAAGTACTCAACGGTACGAACCCGTGGGTGTAAATGGACCTTAATTCCGAGTTAGAAGGAGAAGTTACGAGCCTCAAAAGTAGTGAAACCTTTTATACATGTGGACTTACTATTAGTAGTAAGTCTCTATAATTAGTCAGCCAAATTAGGAAGTTTCCATTTGAGGAAACTAACCCAAAAGCCCAGAAACCCCAACCCAATTCGCGGCCCAATTGACCCCCGCAACCTCCCATTTTCCAACGCCGATTCCGGCCAACTCCCGTGGATTTTTTCAACACCACCACCAGCATCTTGAATCTCTCACTCCCCTCTACAAAACACAACCAAGAACCACCTTGATTAACCACCGTACATGGCAGTGCGAGGCCACAAAACCCGATGAAAACCAATGGTGCTCCGACCACCCTTTTCCTTTTTTCGGTGAATCGGAAAAGCGATGGCCGATACCACCACTTGGATTTTGTAGCCCATCATCCCAGGAGTAAATCTCGACCAGTTTTGACCCTTTTGGACCACCGTAGGCGACGAATTGACGCCAGGAAACTTTAGGCACCCGTCGGATTTATCGGAAAATTGATCATCTTCCGTCCACTTTTGGACTTCATGTCAGCTATAAATTTGTTCCTCTTGTTGAGCTCTATCTTCCTGTAAATTTTGGTAGAATTTGGAGTTAGTAAAAAAAGTGAGTTTCCGATAGCCGGAAACCACCACGCGTTGCGGTGCTTAGCCAGCGGGTGGACGCTGCCTTTTGAAGTTAAATTCAATATTCTTTCAATTTGATAACCGTTTGATATAGTTCGGTAGTTTGAACCTAGTATGGAATACTACGCCACTGACCATTTTATGATTGACGATCCGACCGTTAAATCATACCAAACCTTAATATGTTATAGTACATAATATTTGAGGACCATAGGAATTGGCGGATTGGGAATCCGACGTATAGATCTTCCCAAATTGAATTTCTAAGTTTGTAAAACAAACGTTGATAACAACCTAATTCTAGAATTGGTAGAGATCCGACCGTTGGATCGTAAAGAAGTTTTAGTATGTTGTTCTAGAAGCATTGTGTGGACTATGGGAAGTTATGGATCTGAAATCTATGGGCGGAAGTTCCAGGTTGACTTGTATAGGGTTGTGGACCTCACCTTTGATAGAGACTTGACTTTTGGACACTATGCTACGAATTGATCTCAAATATTAAAATCAGTATTACTAGAGACTATATAGGGCTTAGTGGGCCTATATTGATTAGTGAGTTATCCTAGATATATACTAGCAGAGAGCACACACTTTGTGTGTGTGAACAATTTCTGTTAATAAGTGCATATATTTTTTTTACTATTACATAATTACTGTTTTGTCCTCCTTATGTAAATATTGTGTATCAAAAGTGAGGGTAAAATTAGAAAAATAAGTAGATGATTGTCATTTTCTAAAAGAAAAAGAGTAAAATAGGGATATCATTGTCATTTTGTCAAAAGGTACAAAATTACTATTTTACCTTTGTCAATAATGTGTATAAAAATAAAGGCAAAATTGGAAAAAAATGGAAAAAAAAAAGTTGATAATGAGGGTTCTCT